CAGGCTGCACACTCTCACCCCTGTAGGAGCAAGACCCACGTTTGCATTCACTCCATGCTAATCTCAGTCTCGCTTCTCCCACTCCTCCCAAGTGTGCATCAGCACAAGCACCAGCCCAGTGCCACTCAGCAGGGCTTCCAGCCCAGGCAACTGCTCCAACATGCATCCTCTTCATCCACAAGCCTGAGCTCTTCAAAGATCAAGAGGCAGAAACAGGACACGAGGGGCAGCTTCAGGACACAGAACTTCATAGAAGGGTGCATTGAGTCAGCAGCAGGGAACAAAAATCCCTTGTGGCAAGCAGCAAAGTTGTTTCTTGGAGAGCAAGGGGGTTTGAAACCGGAACAAACAATTTAATATGCAACCAGACCCTGTCTCTGCAGCTTGTGGGCCAGCAGAGCCACACCGGCAGGTACTGCATCTGCTGTCTTAAGTCCAGCAGCAGCATGGAGCCAGAGCTGTGGACCGTCTCATCAACTCCAGCCTATGACGGGGTCATGCACTGCAACATCGCTGAGCTCCTCTGCTAATTAAATCAGGTTTTGCTCATGCAGTTTCCCTGGTCTTCTCACTGCCTAGTAATTGTCAGGTGCTATCAGAAAAATCAACAGAGAGCTGTCCAGCCTTTCCCAGACCACCTTTGCCATATTCTGTCCTTCTCAGCATGACTTCTACACCCTCGCAGAGCAGGAGGCAGGTGCTGGCACAGGGATCCTGTGCTGAGGCTTGGTGGTCCTGGTCCAGGCTGAACAGAGATGTCAGACACAGATCACTGAGCCTGGGAGCCCCAGGGCTCTGGGTCCAGCTGAGTCTTGGCATGCAGGGGACCTCAAGGATGGGAGCAGCACGAGGTTCCACTTGCCCTGTCCCACAGCACAGGCTTCGGGAGCAATGTGGTGATGCCCAAACTCCACCCCTGGCAGTACACACAGCCGTGGCAGCCGTGCCAGGACAGAAACTGTGCCACCCAATGGTGGGCGAAGACAGGTGGGTTCCCATCCACAGGGAAGGTAGACATGAGAATGGCGCAGTCCAGCACCCTCCTTCAGTGCCATGACAAGCACCTTCACCAGGAGGGGCAGGGCAGGGCAGGGACCTGTGGCACTGCTGCACACCTGCAGAAGGGGCAGCCAGGCAAGGCAGGCCAGGCAGGCTGTGATCAGGACCACCTCTTGCTTCTCCACAACACTGTCCCCAGTGCCATTTGGCAGCACTCGCCACTTGTCCTCCTTGTCCTGGGAAGGATGGCTGTGGAGCAGCAGACAGGGAGAGGGGAGGGAGTTGCTCAGCAGGCTCACGCCTCCGACATGTGCCGCGCGCAGCTCCGCCAGACCGCAGGATCTGGCTCGCTGAATGCGTGGAAGCAACACTTCTCCGTGTCTCTCTTTGCAAAGCCCCAAACAATAACTGTCTGTCGCTGCACAGGAGCTTAAGAGAAACATAAGTTGCTATTGGCATGGTGCACGGCAGCCTTCCTCTTACACAACACCAGCAGATGTGAAAATAGCCCAGTGCTGCCTTGTGCATTCCTCTGACCTCGTGTTTGCTTCTGGATCAGATTCCAAAGCTGGATCTTAACCTACAAGAGCCATAAAAGCAAAGGATTTGGCCCTATCAGGGACCCCTTCATAATCTAAGACAGATGCGCTCCACGTAGAAGAACACGGTGAGGTTTATCAGGGCAGGAAAGAGGCTGAGGCAGGACCACCCTCTGCTCTACAGCACAGCCAGGGCAGCCCCTGCAGCGGCATCACCCTGTGCTCTGGCTGACAATGCACTGGAGGTGGCTTAGGGACAGAAGAGCTGGAAGCTCTTGCAAGCCAGGACAGCACTCAAAACCTCGCATTCTACTGCTCAGCCTACACTGAAGCTGCCTCCAGCCCCCACCCACCCTGGCAAAGGAGGCCCCAAGCCCAATGTCCTAAGGGTCATGGTGCTGCCAGAGTCAGCACAGCTTGGGTGATCCCCTCCAACCGTGCAAGGTGCTCCTGGTATTTCTCACCTGCTTGAAGAGCAGAGACTGACTCCAAAGCCAAACCCAAAATCACCCTGGGAAATACAGAGGGAAAAAGCACGTGGAAGAGAAATTGCTCCTGAAAGTATGAAAAGGTAGCAGGAGAATAAACTGAAGGATGCTAAAGACATGTGATAAGAGGGAGAGATCAGTAACCATCGATGAAAGGGCATCCCTAAGAACAACCTGCATAAATAAATTAATGTCTCCAGGGTCCCCAAGGGTATCCAGTATCTCTGCTTTGGAACTGCAGCAACCCCAAGCAGCAGAGGAACTTCCTAAGATGCAAGAGAAGAAAACAAGACAGGGCTATTGCTGTTGCAGGGGAAGGGATCAGTGAATGAGTTGTCCTCCAGGCAGCTCTGTGAGATACTGGGCTGCTGCCGGGGCTGTGCTGTACCTACGCTCCAGCAGTGCTCCCCTCTGACCCAACACGTGCTCATCCCCATGTTTCTTGGTGGAAATGTCACACGACAGAAAAGCCCTGGAGTCTGACTCATCCAGAAGTCTAAATCCTGCTCCTGGAAGCTCCAGACCCTCCAATCTCCCTGTGGCCCAGCCTGGGGAACAGCCCCTCCAGTGCTGCCACAACCTGCCCACAGGTGATGCTGTCCCTGAGCGGGTCACCCACCGGCAGCTGTGCAGGTGGGCTTGGAGTCTACAAGAAAGTTTTTAGCCAGCAGTGAGCCACCGACCACCAACTGCAGGCAGCTCACACATCAACGCACCGCAGGTTCGTACACGAGGAACTAAGAGAAGACATAGAACAGCCAAGCCGTGGTGTTTTGCCCCAGAACACCTCCAGCCCCACACACGCTGGAGAGATTTCTACCTCTGCACACAAAGCCACAGGGTAACAGGCAGCAGCAGAGGAGCATAATTCTAAGACTGACACATAGGGCAACCCGCAGATCACGGTTTGAACAGGAGGGCGAAAGGTGGCCTTAGAATATAATCCACTTCAGGAGCTCTTAAATCTCTCCAATACAACACAGAGCCCTTTAAGTAAAACTAAACAACTTCCTTTAGACTAAATAAATATTAAACCTAAGTGATGCATTAATTTACTCCAGTTCACCAAAGGCTAACTCCTACCCAAACTGATCATTATAAAAGAAATCCTATAATCCCTCGCTCCCATTCAGGCTCAAAACATGTAATCCCGTGAATAAATCCAGAAAGAAAGTGTAACAAAACGGGCAATAAAAACTTACAGCATTCACATCTTTTCATCTACCATTAATACTGTAAACACTCACTCGAAGGCCCTCGAGTATGACTAATCTAATGTTTTGGCTCCCAACCCTGATCGCCGAAGGAGCTCCACTCTCACTGTGACACCCAGCAAGCTCCGCTGCCCTCCAGCCGCAGCCAGGACACCCCTGGAGTGCCCAGCGCAGCCATCCCCACCTCACATCCCACAGAATGCTGCAAAATCAGCACGAAATGGAGCAAGTATGGTTCTAATAGCACCAGAGCGCAGAGTTTTCTTTTTTCCCCCCCTTTTTTTTTTTATTATTTTATTGCTTTGGAAGCCTGCAAGCTCCAACTGTATAAATGCCAATAACTTTGTTTTAAGGCTGCTGAAGTAAGAGATCAGATTTTAGCAAGTGCTTTCCAGGCATCCAGCCAAACTTTTTCTGATTCACTAAAAGCACCAAAGGGAGGGGGAAAGGGAGGGGGCTGGAGGGCTGATTAACTTCAGTTACCGCACAAGCACAAAAAAATGTCTCCCCGTTGCAAAGGGTGCTGGCGCTGTGAGCCCTGTGCAGCCTGTTATTCCTTGAGCTTGAAAAAAACACACCAGAGAAATAGAGCAAACACCTTCCAACCGCAGGGTAATTTACAGCTGTGGATCCTCTCCTGCTGAGGAGGCTACTCCACCGGGGGAGGTTCTGCTGGCGTTGGGTTCAAGCTGCAGTTTTTGGTGGGGATGAGGAAGAAAATGTGACCGGGGATTTTTTTGATGGGTGGGGGACCAGGGATGGGGCTGGTCTGGGTTTTAGCTTAGCCAGAGGGACAGAGCCCCCTCCAAGGCTGTGGCTGTGCTCATCCAGGACCATCCCTTGCTGCTGTTGGGGATCTGGAGAGGGTGAGCAGGTGCAATCCTGGCCAACACATCACACGGGGCCAAGGGATGGCCCAGGCATCCCCCAGTCCTGGGGGGATGGTGGGCTGGAGCCACTGGAGCAGTGGCACCTGCTCTGCCCAGCCCCGCAGCTGGGTCTGCTCCAGGATGCCCAGCTAAAATCCCTGTGGCAGTGAGGTGTGTGGCCATGGGGCTGTTGGGGGGCAGCTGCCATCCCCATCCCCATCCCGCGGGCGCCTGGGCTGCAGAGCTTCGCCGCTCAGGGTGTTCCTCCAACGGCTTCATTCCTGCCGAGGCAGGATCAAAGGCTGGAGCTGACTTGGACGGCGTTCTACTGAATAATGGGGAGGGAGCACACAGCCTCCTTCTCCTGGCTAAGGAAACTCGTGTTTTTCAAAGTATCAGTTTTTGAGAGCAAGTTCTCAAAGAGGGAAGGATGGGGGGGGGGGGGAAGAACGAAAAGGAAAGAAAAGAAAAGAAAAGAAAGAAAAAAAATAAAAAAGAGAGCGAGCAGGAGAGCGCCTGCTCTTCCAAAGCAAGTGCATCAATCAACATTGTGCAAGGAGAGTCCAGCACTCCCTCTCACATCATTAGCCAGGCTAATGCACTCCAGAGGATCCCGCTACGGCAGGCTACCGGCGCACCGGCTGCTCCTCAGCCTCGCACCGGCGGCAGAGCACAACCGGGCACGGAACGGGAGCTGAGGGCGAGGGGCAGTCCCGGTCCAGGGCAAGTGACAGTCCAGCACCTGGTGTGGGGCTCGGTTTAATACGGCTATAAAAACTAGAGGGAAACAAGTGAAAGCCCCAGCCAAACCTGCCTGGCACTCGAGGTCAGCACGCCGCCTTTGTTTCTATTTTACAACCAAAAGCGAGAGAGGACAGAAAGGACACGTACCTGTACCTGAAAGCACAGCAGCAGGAAATGTAAACATCTGGAGAAGAGAAAAAAAAAAAAAGCAACAAAAGATCAAATGATGTGGTAAAATGGTTAAAGTTGGGGGGTTTGCTTTTTTTTTTTGCTTTGTTTTTGTTTGCAATTTTTTAAAGGGCACAGAGCGATGCTCTGCTTATAGAAAGGCTCGGGTCCCAATTACCACCTGGTTGCAAGGAAAATGCAACCAGAGACTCCAGAACGAAAGTTTAAAAAAAAATTTAAAGTATTTTTTAAAATTTAAAAATAATAATAAAAAATATTTAGAAATATGTCATAATCCTTACAGGCAAGTGCAGGCTGAGAGCAGTGAATACATCGCTGGGCGAGGAGGGGGTTGGCCGGCGGCTGGTCGCTAGCGGAGCGCAGTCCCCCGCCGCCGCGCTGACATGGGAGCGATCCGGCCGGCGAGCTCCGATCCGCGCCGCGCAGCTCCGCGCCGCTCCGCGCCGCCGGGAAGTTGTGGTACCGCCCGCTCTGCCTCCGCCGAGTGACTCGTCAGGCATCAGCTCTCCTCTCCCCCTGTCTCTCCTCCTCCTCCTCCTCTCCCTCTCTCTCTCTCCGCCTTTGGGGGGATGAAGGTGCTTATTGTCAGTAACTTCCGATCATCAGCAAGTGCCCCCCCGCGCCCCCCCGGGCCGGGCCGGCCCCGCCGGGCGGATGGAGCCTCTCGGCCGCCGCCGCGCCCCGCTCCGGGCTGCGCCCCGCGCCCGCTCCGCGCTGCGGGCGGGCGGCATCGCGGGGCGCGGAGCGGGAGGCGGGATCCGCCCGGGCGGCCCCCGGGGCTGGCACCGCCTGCGCGGAGGGGGCACCGCCCGGCCGGAGGGTAGCGCCGGCCCGGGAAGCCTTTTTTTAAGAAATGAGGAGGGGAGGGGGCTCCGGCTGCCCCGCGCCCTCCCCGGCCCGACGGAGCGGGCGGCGCCGCTGCTCGCCCGGAACGCGAGGGGTCCGCAGCGCCCCAGCACAGCGGCCGCTGCCGCTGCCCCGCTCCGCTAACACGTGTCTCCGCTCCGGGGCCGGTCCGCCCTTACCTCCGAGCGGGCCGGAGCGCGTCCCGGCCCCGGCCGGCCGGCAGCGGGGCCCCGGCAGCCCCGGCGCGGCCCCCGCGGGCCGGGACACCCGCGCGGTGCATGGCCCGGCTCCGCTCCCGCGGCGGGACGCGGACAGCGGGTCAGGCAGTGCCGGGCTCGGCCGGGCCCCGCTCCGCACGGCTCGCCTGCCCTCCAGCGGCCGCTCCGCCGCCCCGCACCGCCCGGCCCGTCGAGCCGCTTCCCCCGCCTCGAGTTTGGGGGTTTTGATGGTTTTCGGGTTTTTTTTTCTTTTTTTGTTGTTGTTGTTGTTGTTGTTGGTTTTTTTTTTTTTTTTTTTTTTATGTTAAGAAAAAAACTCACACACGGAGAGCGTGTGGTAACTCTTTCCCCCTGTCTGAAAGCTCGTTTATAGCAGACAAGATGCCAGGAACCGTTAACCTCCACGCATAGCCGAAGTCTCCACAGAGCACCCAACGTCAGTTAACACCTTATTAAGTGAGAACATAACCATAGCTCAGAACGCTGAGCTTTCCAAATTCTCCACTCGAATAACAGCATCGGAACAGGGTGTCGGGCCCAGCTGCTCCCACTGCTGCAGGGACTGAGGCACTTGCTCCCCCGGCACCCGTCAGCCAAAATCAAGTAGCATCTTTAATCTCTGGAGTTCATCACTGGGGACCCTTCAGGCACCAAGTCATGGGGTTTTTCAGCCCATAGTTTCAGGTCCAAGAGGCACAGAAAACATAAAGAAGTTTTAAGACAGTGATCAAAGTCCTTATAAAACCTCCAGCACTAACACACACCTATCTACCAGACTTCACACTTCTGGTCTTCTGCATCTGCAAGTCAAAAAAAAAAAAAAAAAAAAAAAAAAAAATCCAAACTGCTGTCAGTTGCTGATGTCACCAACATCAGAGACCCCAGGCATCCCTGTCACGGTGGTCCCACAGCACCTTGCCACAGCTGAAAGCTGTTTTCACAGGTGCCCAAGACCATCAGAGCCACCATCCTGAACCCTACAAGTTGAGCTCACTGAGATGCCTACTCTGGAATGTTACAAACAGAATTTGGGCACCCTTAAGATTACAATATTTAGCTTAGATGTGAAAATATTCCATATATTCCTAATCACCCCCAGTACCTGATTTCCTGGCAGCTCTTTGGGTGGGAGAAGCCCATCCTATACCATCTTATGCTATTGGGTGCTGCTCAGTCAGCCACAGGAGAGGCACCCACGGCATGGGGTCAGGCCAGTGTTTCCATATGCATCAGCCGCCCAAGGAGCCCCTGCACAGCACACACAGGAGCCAGAGGCAATAACTCCTCTGTGACACTCACAGCCACTCGTACTCACCTGTGACCACAAGCTTTGGCTGTTCCTCAGGCTTTCCATCGTGGCAGCCCCATCACCTGCCTCCAAGAAAAGGCTCCTTAGACAGCAACCAATACCCAAGCTGGCCCAGGGCTGCTGCACCTGGATGGAAGCAGAAAAGCTAGAAAAGGAATTTGAAGCTGCTGCTAACCTTCATAATTTTAATTGCCCCACAACAGCAGGGAAAGTTAGAGCAGCTACAGCAGAGCTGTCAGCTACACATGGAAAAACTCATCAGAGGTGATGCTGGCCCAGCCCATGCTGACACACCAAGTGACCACCATAACCCAATTGAGGACAAGGCAGAAGGCACCTGGACACCTCAAACAGCACAAACTACCAGGGCAACACCAGGGATTGTTTTAAGGAGGGCACATGAGGTGTCTTCTTTTTTCAGTTATTTCATTTGCAATCACACAAGTTCTTTATTTAAACTAGATCCACATTTTGTGCCTCATTAGTCTGGCAAAACTGTTTAATCTTTAATATCCCAATAGTTACCTGGAGAATAATACCAATATTGGGTGAATCTCAGGCTACCAGCCTTGAAGAACACAGATGGGCACAGAATAGAGATGAGGCAGCTCGTATGTATCTCTGAAAAAACAGAAATATAATTTAGCTGCATGTTGTTATGAATGTGTGTGTACATATATATATATATGAAATATTCAAAGCTCCACAGACAGACCTGTTGCTCCACTGCTGAAGGCTGCCGTGTGATCCGATTCCCAACACAAATCGAGCCAGAACAGCCAATGCCCACTGTAAAACCTTTAAAGCTGTTTATTTTTCACACAGCACATTCCATGTGTGAAGGCTGGTGCAGCAGGTTCCTGAGAGCTTGATCTTCTCAACACTTTATTAAGCAAGACACAGACCAGGCTGGTCCATGCAGCGCAGGGTGTCCCTGGGAGCTCTCAGGCTTGCTGCCTCCCACTCACCCATGCGAATGCCTGAATTAAGGCTGTCTCCTACAGTGCCTCAGTGGCTTATTGGATTAGTGGCCGCTCTGCAGCAGCTCAAATTGAAGTCTGAGCAGCATGACCTTTCACTCGCAGGGCAGTGAAGGTGCCCCTGGTGAAATGAGCTTCCCTTGCCCTGCTCCAGTGGTCCATATCACACGAGGAGTGGGCATTTCACAGAGCACGAAGCCCTTTCAATGGAGCCAAGGACTTAAGAGTATGCTTGAGTGGGAAACCATCCCACCCCCTGGAGACCCCTTTGGAATGTGAATGAGAAGCCAGCAGGAAAGGCCAGCACAGGATCTGGCCCCGCTGCATCTGGAGTACCAAGACTTAAATTAAAATTAAAAAAACTGGTCTGATGTTTTATAAAGACCAAGTTCAGCTGTACATCCCAGCCCTGCCACTGGTGAGCAAACCTGTGTGCTGTTTGCTCCTGTCATCTGCATCCCCAGCCTTGTGCTGTTTCAATAAGAAGTCCTTAGTGAATATCAGATGGAAGAGAGTTTCTGCAATTGAAACTCCAGGTAAAAGCAAAGACAACTTTTAGACTGGCTGGGGCGCATGTTCTGTCTTTCTCCAGTTTACACACAAAAAGGCAATTCCTTCCCAAGGTAAGAAACACTTTTGCCACATAGTCTGGACAGACAGGGAGAGAGGGGATGCTTTGCAGTTACCATCATTTGACAGAAGAGCCACCTCAAAACAACCCTGAACTGATGCCCAGGAGGACAGAACTTCAGCCTCAGCATCATCATATTCAGCCACAGTCTTGCAGAATATGGTGAAGAACAGTCAGGATTTGGATTCAGCCATCACAAAGCCTCAGGCTAAAGCCCTGATTCGAAGCACTGGAAGCACAAAGCACAGAACCATATATAATATGTAAAAACACAGAACAGTTTGGAATGGAAGGGACCTTCAAGATCATCTCATTCCACCCCCTGCCATGGGCAGGGACACCTTCCACTAGCCCAGGTTGCTCCAAGCCCCGTCCAACCTGGCCTTGGACACTTCCAGGGATGCAGGGGCAGCCACAGCTTCTCTGGGCAACCTGTGCCAGGGCCTCACCACCCTCACAGGGAAGAATTCTTTCCCAATATCCCATCTAACCCTGCCCTCTGGCAGTGGGAAGCCATTCCCCCTTGTCCCAAGTCCCTCTCCAGCTCTTTGGAGCTCCTTTAGGCCCTGGAAGGGGCTCTCAGGTCTCCCTGGAGCCTTCTCTTCTCCAGGTTGAACAACCCCCAGCTCTCCCAGCCTGGCTCCATAGCAGAGGTGCTCCAGCCCTCAAAGCATCTCCATGGCTTCCTCTGGACTCTCATATAAGTGAAATTCCCATGAAAATTCTGCAAACCTTTTGTAAGTCATCAGTGTGGTGGATGGCAGTGTGGCCACTCACACATGGATACTCACATATGGGAGAACAGAGAAGGTGGTACAAAACAAACCAACCCACATTTTGTAGATTCAAATGCATTCCCTGAGACAGAGCCCTTTGGTGTCCGGAAATTTTGTAGTGGTGCAGCCTTGGTTGGTCCCTGGTGAAGGACCTGTGGGCCATCAAACTGAAGCTGCGAGGCTGGAAAGCTGCTGGTGCTCAGGCCCTGAAGCTCAGAGATTTCCCTGCATGCCAAGAGGGAAGGCCCACTTACCAGTTAACTCCAGATGGAAGTTAGGTTTTAGCACACTGAAGTTTTTCTCCTGGATATAAATAAACTATGGAGGAACAAAAGCAACCCAAACCATTCATTGTCAGCTTTTACACACAGATTTCACCAAGCCCTGAGACAGATGAAGAGCCTGGGAGATAGCACAGACCCAAGATGTGTCTGCATTCACTACGCTGGTTCCCTGGACTTTGAAAGCACATGGAGATGTAAGGAACTAAATGAACAAAGGTGTAAATACAGTGAAGGCAGAAATGCTGAACTCCCACACCAAGCATTTGAAACACTATCAGAACATGCACAGCAGCTTTCCTTCAATAGACTGAAAAAAGAAGCCACACCAGTGCGTTTGTTGCTGGGTGCCCTATGCTCACACTTTTTAGCTTGTGACCATTGAGCTGTTTTATAAACCCCACAAATCCAACACCAAGCTGAAACATGTGAACTGCTCCACACCACGCCAGCCAGGGGGGATGGCACCAGGAATCAGAGACTTCAATCCTGCAAATACAAGCATCAATCCCCTGCAGTAACCCAGCACCTGGGTGGGTTGGGGCCTGGAGACTGGCACTGCT